ATATAAGAAAAATACTTAAGGGAGGATGGTGGGCGAGAGTCTGTCTATTTCATGACACTAATATGAGAAAAATACTTAAGGGAGGATGGTGGGCAAGAGTCTGTCTCAAAACGGGACATTTTAAACGTCACTACGTCCAAATTGTACAACATATTTTAATGAGTTATTTGAATATGCAAATTGGATTTTACTCTATATTTCCGATCTTCGCTTGATCAAAGACTACATATTATTTTTAAAAAAGTAATACACAAGGACTAGAAAGGTTATTTTTTAATTTGCGAGTGAAAATATGTATGTATTACCTTTTCTTTTTCTATTATCCTTTTTTTTTTAAATTATGATTGAATCGTAATAAAATGTTAAAATGAACTTTTTTTATATTTCATTTTATTACACGTGACCAGTTACTAACAGATAATTAAATCCAGGACGAGCTTTTGTAACGATTATACATAATTCATGGAAAATGTAAACACACTGAAAGCGTCATCTTACACTGTTATACAGGTTATCTTAAAGGGAAAAAACCAATGAATACAAACTTCGCTTCCCCAGTAAGATATCACACTTGTGTAATGTATACTATTTGTTTGTGGGTGGGTGTGGTAGTGTGTGTATGTGTAAGGGTGTGTGTGTGTGTGTCTGTGTCTGTGTGTGTGTGTGTGTGTGTGTGTGTGTGTGGATGTAGGTGAGTGTAAGGGTGAATGTGTTCATGTTAGAGTGTGTGTGAATGTGTGTACGAGGATGGGTTGTTGGGGAGAGGAGGATGTGTGTAAATGTGTGTGTGACGATGGGTTGTCGGCGAGGGTTGGGGGGGGAGGGGGTGGGGGAGTGAAGCTGTGTGTTTGTGTGTAATTTATCTCTGATTATAATTTCTAACGTCAAAATTAACAATAAACATCATTTTCCATTGCTAAAATACACATTACTAAAGACGATTGTTAATAAAAAATTAATATAGTTAGAAATATCTTTCATATAAAATCAACAAAGTAATATAGGTTTCTTGAATACAACACTCATGTCAAAACGATCATAGTGTCGGTTAATGATCGGTTAATGTTCGGTTAATCATCGGTTAATGATAATCATGATTTACATAATTACTGATAATTAAACAAACATTGATTACTAAAACTAGTGCTATTAACAAAATCCAAATCAAGCAGCATGTTTTGTATGTCATGTTTAATTAATGTAAATTACCTGTTAAAATCGACAAAAACCGGGAAATGTTTCGTGTTTTAACAGTAATTGCCTGTTAAAATCGACAAAAACCTGGAAACTGTTCATGCTTTAATAGTAATTACCTGTTGAAATCGACAAAAACCTAGAAATGTTTCATGTTTTAACAGTAATTACCTGTTGAAATCGACCAAAACCGGGAAATGTTTCGTGTTTTAACAGTAATTGCCTGTTAAAATCGACAAAAACCGGGAAATGTTTCGTGTTTTAACAGTAATTGCCTGTTAAAATCGACAAAAACCTGGAAACTGTTCATGCTTTAATAGTAATTACCTGTTGAAATCGACAAAAACCTAGAAATGTTTCATGTTTTAACAGTAATTACCTGTTGAAATCCAATAATGGGATTGTAACTGTCATCTACACAGGGGCTAGGGTTTATACTTCAGACAAATACATATAAAATTGTTCATCTACACAGGGGCTAATAGTAATTACCTGTTAAAATCGACAAAAACCTGGACATTGTTCGTGTCTTAATAGTAATTACACGTGGGAATCCACATTGCTATAGATGTTGCCTATGTTATAATGAATACATATATTTTTTACTGATTAAAATATCACAGGGGCTGAAGAATACATATATGGGAAAAATAACACAGGGGCTAGGGTTTATACTGTCAGACACACATTGATTGTATCAATCTACACAGGGGCTTTGTACACATCAGTACGGGGCTAAGATAGACATACAAAACTTACTGTCATCTACACAGGGGCTAGGGTTTATACTGTCAGACATACACATAATGGGATTGTTACCGCCATCTACACAGGGGCTGGGGTTTATACTGTCAGACATACTTATAATGGGATTGTAACCGTCATCTACACAGGGGCTAGGGTTTATACTGTCAGACATACACATAATGGGATTGTAACCGTCATCTACACAGGGGCTGGGGTTTATACTGTCATCTAATGGGATTGTAACCGTCATCTACACAGGGGCATTATACTGTCAGACATACACATAATGGGATTGTAACCGTCATCTACACAGGGGCTAGGGTTTATACTGTCAGACATACATATAATGGGATTGTAATTCGTCATCTACACAGGGGCTAGGGTTTATACTGTCAGACATACATATAATGGGATTGTTGTCCGTCATCTACACAGGGGCTGGGGTTTATACTGTCATCTACACAGGTGCTAGGGTTTATACTGTCAGTCATATACATAATGGGATTGTTAACCGTCATCTACACAGGGGCTGGGGTTTATACTGTCATCTACACAGGGGCTAGGGTTTATACTGTCAGACATACATATAATGGGATTGTAACCGTCATCTACACAGGGGCTAGGGTTTATACTGTCAGACATACACATAATGGGATTGTAACCGTCATCTACACAGGGGCTGGGGTTTATACTGTCAGACATACACATAATGGGATTGTAACCGTCATCTACACAGGGGCTGGGGTTTATACTGTCAGACATACACATAATGGGATTGTAACCGTCATCTACACAGGGGCTGGGGTTTATACTGTCAGACACACATATAATGGGATTGTAACCGTCATCTACACAGGGGCTGGGGTTTATACTGTCAGACATACACATAAAGGGATTGTAACCGTCATCTACACAGGGGCTGGGGTTTATACTATCAGACATACACATAATGGGATTGTAACCGTCATCTACACAGGGGCTGGGGTTTATACTGTCAGACATACACATAATGGGATTGTAATCCGTCATCTACACAGGGGCTAGGGTTTATACTGTCAGACATACATATAATGGGATTGTAATCCGTCATCTACACAGGGGCTGGGGTTTATACTGTCATCTACACAGGGGCTAGGGTTTATACTGTCAGACACACACATAATGGGATTGTAACCGTCATCTACACAGGGGCTGGGGTTTATACTGTCAAACATACACAATGGGATTGTAATTCGTCATCTACACAGGGGCTAGGGTTTATACTGTCAGACATACATATAATGGGATTGTTGTCCGTCATCTACACAGGGGCTAGGGTTTATACTGTCAGACACACAGGGGCATCTACACAGGGTTTATACTGTCAGACACACACATACAAGGGGCTGGGATTGTCAGACATACATATAATGGGATTGTAACCGTCATCTACACAGGGGCTAGGGTTTATACTGTCAGACACACATATAATGGGATTGTAACCGTCATCTACACAGGGGCTGGGGTTTATACTGTCAGACATACTTATAATGGGATTGTAACCGTCATCTACACAGGGGCTAGGGTTTATACTGTCAGACATACATATAATGGGATTGTAACCGTCATCTACACAGGGGCTGGGGTTTATACTGTCAAACATACACAATGGGATTGTAATTCGTCATCTACACAGGGGCTAGGGTTTATACTGTCAGACATACACATAATGGGATTGTAACCGTCATCTACACAGGGGCTGGGGTTTATACTGTCATCTACACAGGGGCTAGGGTTTATACTGTCAGACATACACATAATGGGATTGTTACCGCCATCTACACAGGGGCTGGGGTTTATACTGTCAGACATACTTATAATGGGATTGCACATCCTGACCTGAAAACATCGTGACTAAATTAGACGATCTTATCTCACAGGGGCATTGTACAACGTTTGCTTGCCGGAAATATACGATTTTTAATGTCTTATTCGTGTGTCTATTGGTTATTGTTCCGTCGCCATATTGTTTGTCTGTGACCTACCTGATTGTTAACTTATTTATTTGCTATCACTTTATTCAACATAAAAAAGAGAGTTTTTTACTCTCAAAGAAATTTCTTTTTATTAAAAAACATAATTTGGGTAAAAATAACATTTTAGTTCCGAAGTTGCGTTAAAGACATCGCCTGCTTCCTGGTTCCCGGTGACAAAATGGCGGCGTCGGTGTAGAAAAGGCAATGAATCGGGAAAATGTTTGTTGATCAGAGTTATTTTCAGTTCATATAACTAAACATTGTGTTATATAACCCTTATAAATGATTTGTACGGCTCTTGCATCAATGACAAGGTTAGGTCACAGGAAAATGAAGGCATACTTCAGACAGAACTGACGAACTGTGAAATAGCCAGGACAATGTGCTAAATACGTAAAATCCATTAAAGGTGCCTTCGTCTTTATTTTCTATCTATCTTTCAAACTGATAAGTTATGCAAACAGAGAAAACAAGCATATTGTATTCAATTTCCATTCGGAAGTTTTCTTCTTTTATCGTACTGTTTAAAGATTGATTTCAGTTTAACATACATTGTCGTTATAATTGAATATTTGGCTTGTTCCCAAACTAATTCACACAAGTCCATTTAATACTTAAGTACATGGCCATGTTTGGGAAAACGGCATTATTTAATTACATACTACATTCACTAATCTGAAGTTTGTTAGTTAAAGCATAATGTTCTAAGCACTCTTGTTTCATATTTATTATTTTACAAACGTGCAAAACAATTTTCGTCAGCTTTTTGTAAACTAAGTCTCGCCATGTATTATATAAAAATGTCAGGGGATTTAATCGATAAATTCATAATTTCTTACTTTTATTTAAAAAATGAACAACGACCCGTCCTGCTTTGTTTCTGTAGCCAAGACTTACAATCAGTATACTCCTATTGTACCTGGGTTTGTAGCCCTTACCTGCCGAAGACAGACCCAATTATGTAATATGATAACATTATAATATGACCGTTTCTCCCTAAAATATTACTTCATGTATATTTAAAAATATAAATTTTGATAATTATCAAATACCTGGCGGGAGGTGACCTTTTTCTAGTCCCGGATCTCGGAAAACCTTCCTGGGTTCCGTTTCTTGTGTGCCCTTTTTGACCTCTGATAACCCTGCGGAACGGACCTGGAGAGCGATATCGTCAGTACTTAATGCAGGGTTGTCATAACCTTTCTTGGTATCTACTGCAGGTGAGTCCCGGGGGAGAGGTTTCAGGAATCGTGTCCAATATGTAGTTCTGTGTACCTGCGGAATAAATTCATACTTTCTCGTCATATTTTCTCTTTTTTCCTGTATCAATTTTTTGATCAGCGTCGTTATTTTGTTTCCGTTTCCATACATCGTACATAATTATTTGTCACAAAAATTCCACTTCAAAGCGCCAATAATACATTAAAAGTCCCGGACAGTTTTCATCAATTTGTGTTTTTTTACCTTATAACATTAAGTCAGGTCAGAAAACAATTGAAATTATTTAAAAAATTATCCTTTTTGAAACGTGTAGGCCATCCTCTTATCCAAAAACAAGTCTTTCAGTCTTTCACAGCTGCATTTTCTGATACTGGAAAATTTGGCATTTTGTGAACACTAATCTACAGGATTTACAACAGGCTGAATAATGATGAGTCAATTGAAGGTTAGGAAAACTGTTTATTTTTCGTTCACCTCTTATATTCAACTTGCTTCACTGAGGAGTCCTAGAAGGATGAATTAGCTGGCATAGTGCAGTTTTATATAGCATTTAGCAATGTTGCATCTAATTCTAGATCAGTTGTCGTTTACTTTGTTCGGAATTGGGAATATAACACTTCAATTGATCAAAATTTACATGGCAGGTGTTGTCGATGAAGCAGAAGACGCGTACCCTTCCGGAACACCCATTCTTTCTTTTGTTAATATTGTTTCCTAGTTATAAGAACTTCTTTCGAAACTTTAGCCAATGCCAGTAAGCATCTGGTTTTTTTAGATATGAAAATTAAATCAACTTACATATTTGGGGTCCGGTTTGCCGGTAGCGAGGCTGATAATGATAGCCAGTGCAGCTGTCATGAGGGTGATAAATAAAGAGAAGTACATGTAATGGAAGTTTTTGATGATGTCCGGGCGGGGATCAGGATTTAGACAATCTCCACTGTCGTAGTAAACAAACACTAACACCATCCGGGTGATTCCGGCAATCAGCGCTATCATCAGCGACCAGAACGCCCCCTGTCGGCAAAAAAGTAAATATTGTAGATTTCAAATAAATTGTCTAATTTTTGCATCAAGTTACCCATGTTAACTGTCAGTTTAAAAGATATATCGCTTGTCTGTGTACCTAACCAGTTTATAACGAGTACAAATATGACAGTGGTGGCCATTAAAAGATTCATCAGTTACTGTTGCATAGCTTTTCTGATTATTTACCTGCTCGTTGACCTGTGGCACTAATATAGCGAGGAGGAAGACTGCGGCGAAGGGAGGGGCCAGGTAATTAGTGATTTCCTGTATGTAGATAAAAACCTGGCCCCCTTGGGTCTCCTTCAGGATTGGTACCCACGCTATGCTAACGCCAATCATCACCAGAATAAATACTCTACAACAAAAACACATGGAACAATGACGTCACTACGTACGTGACTGCTTTCTACGACAGGCACACATATATCAGTTACGTCACTATTCCTAAAATAGCATACACGACATTGAGGTTGGAATCGAGTGTTTTAACACGTTTGTTTCGCACATTTTTTTCTTTTACAATATTTTGATATGCTCATGAATTAAGTTCGTGACTTATATTTCTGTAAATAAGCTAAACGATTTACTATATAAATGTATGGACTTGTTTATAATCAATCTGTTTACCCCGCCATCATTGCCACGCCCTCTGATTTGTCAATAACCCTATCCCTTTCCTGGCTTGAGAATGACTATAATATAAACTATTTCATAACAACATCCCTTCCTGGTTATAAATCAATTCATAAATCTGTTTATAACCACATCCATGATACATGTCTTCCGACGATGGAAAGTGTTTAGAGGTAAGCATTTTACAGATCGTTTCATTTAAGTCGATCATGAGGAGCTTGCATTCAATAAGCCAATACATAGAGAATATAGGATCAGTGTTTTAAACTATAAGCTATATTTTGGCGAAGTTGAAGACAAACAAAAGTGGCGAGACTCTGTCCAGCAACTTTTGTCTCTGTGTCCCGATCCAAAACGCAGAGTGTATGTTAAGACATTGACCATGTATTCTATTTATCCTGCAATACTTATTGAAAATCAGACACTCAATACTTCAACAGTTTTGTTTTTCAATCTTTGTTTACCCGACGTTTGCGTTACGCTGAAGTTTGCCTGATGACGCACGCCGAAATAATTGCTCCGCTCGCAGAAACATAGTTCCACACTTCAACAGATATTAACGCGCTTGCTAAAATACAGATGTTTTCTGTCACTTCCGATTACAGCCAAATTCATGTGGCATGCATATTTCAACAATGACAGTGCCAGTTGCAGGATCAAACTGCGTATATACTTGCCTTAGCACGCCCGCTAATTCTATTAACCACGCCCACACTATCTTTCCTTACTATAACCATGCCCTTTGCCGATCATACACAACGCCCATAATATACAAACCTGACTATATCTACACCCTATGTTCTTTATGCCACGCCCACAAACCTGTTTATAACCACACCCATGTTCGTTATATGCTACGCCCACACACCTGTTTATAACCGCACCCCATGTTCGTTATATGCCACGCCCACAAACCTGTTTATAACCACACCCTATGTTTGTTATATATCACGGTCACAAACCTGTTTATAACCACACCCTATGTTTGTTATATATCACGGTCACAAACCTGTTTATAACCACACCCCATGTTCGTTATATGCCACGCCCACAAACCTGTTTATAACCACATCCATGGTACAAACCTTCCAACGATGAGAAGTTCTCTGACGGAAGCATTTTTGCGGACCCTTTTATAAATGTCGATCGTAAAGAGCGTGCTAGCGCTGTTAAAGATAGAGTCAAGGTCACTCATCAAGGCCGCTATCATCACTGCCATCATAAGACCCCTCAATCCTAGAGGTGGGAGAAAATATCACGATCAATGTCTCAGACAGTATAGCAGAGAAATGGTCTTAACATGATATCAGCTGATAATGACACACATAATTCATTATAATCCAAGGTTAATATTGTTTTATATTTGACAAAGAAAGTTCGTTAAATAAACATTTTATTTATCTCGACTATCGACACAATTTCGTCCTTCAGTTTTATTTGACATTTTCAGTCGGTCTGAAGGAGTAGTACATGTACCTTTTCCCTCCCTCGATTTAGCTCTGAAGCTAATATAACAACGTCTTAACGAAATCATCATATCATAACCTCATTTATGGAAGGATGTTTGGCTAATATCAAATATTGCATTAAGAAGATTTTCCTTGTTGATAACAGTTCATCAAGTCATTTATCGAAAGGAGAACATTGTATATAGATTACTAGTTTACAGACTAAGTACCTTCCGGCATGATTCCGAGTACAAGTCTCGGGTAGGCAATGTTCGTACAGCCAGCGTAGCTCTGACAGACCGTATAGCAGATGTCTTTGTCTACACATGCTACCTCGTCTGTGAAAAAAGGGGAAAACAAATCTTATTTCAAACTCAAATTGGATAAAACTATGGCAAAATATTAACTAAAGAGATTTACGTCTGAAAAAGTACAATGAGAATAAGACTAGATGTTCCGGAAGAATAAGCGTCTTCTGCTTCATCAACGTTACCCGTCATGCAAATTTCGGTCAATAAAAGTATGTAGTGTCACGTTCTCAAATGAGAAAGAACAAGGTAAACAACAGCAAAACCACTAGCCATTCTAAAGTGGCATTAAACTTGCTTTTAGATCTATCAAAATAATTTAGATTATAAGTATTACGCATTCCTTTTGTTATTTTGAATAAATAGATTTAAGAGACCGAATTATCAACACATTGAGAATATTAAGTATTCGTCATTATTGTCCCTGGTGGCATTTAGTATCACTATTGAATAAACGGACTTCGTTCAGAGAGCACAAAAAGTTAATAAACATTGTTTACCTCCGTGTAGCGAGTTTTATTCAGAAATAAATGTTTGTAAACTTTATGATATGTAAGTTTGAAGATTGTTTGTAGTTTTCGATCTACAGATAACTTGCCTTCGTTTAGATATCATAAAATGTTCTTATTTGTTTTGAGACTACAGTTATAGAGTTACTTATTTACATATTTTTAGTTATACCTGGATACAGAATACGACTAATCATTCCAGGCATGACCATCATGAAGAGGGGAAGAATTTTGATGAAACCCGCCATCAGGGTGGCGCCCTTAGCATGGGAGACGCTCTTAGCTGCCAGCAGTCTTTGTACGATCACCTGAAGGACAGAAAGAATACTGAGGGAATGTCGCGAATGTCTTAACGGATGGATCGGAATGTCTTTACACAGGTACAGGATAAATTAACTGTCAGACCAAGGCCCGTATTCATGAAACCATTCTCATGCTCAAGCATATATTTTGTGTTCAAGCAAACTTTTTTATAATTCGCCTTATAATATGAAATAATACAAATGACAAATTTAAATCTTGGATATAACCTTACTTATTGATTCTTAACATAAACAAGACATAAGGCTTGAGCACAAAATTCATGCTTGAGCATGAGAACGGTTTGATGAATACTTGTACAACCTTGACATCCACATATCAACAATATACTATGTTTTATGTAATGGATAAGATCAGAGATTCCGTTTGTTTCTGGCTTTATGACAGCGGAATATTGTTCACTCACCCTGCGTTCCAGTTACCAGCTATTTATTTATTGCTTTACAACACAGATGCTATTTAAAAAAAATAACAAGAGTTTTATTACTAGAGGCAAACTAACCGTAATGTCTTCTATAATTCGGATAGGAACCCTACTGTATTATAAGTAAACTTCACACAGTGTTATCTGCTTAAGGAACAGAACTTTCCATAATAAAATATATGTACCATTTTATGAGAAGGGACATAACTCTGTTTTACCTGATCTGCACACCAGTACCAGATCGAGCCCGGAGTCTGACCGAGAAGAAATCCGGGCCATGGCATATAATCGTCATCGGCCTCGCGCAACATTCGGAAGGCATTTGGATCTGGTTCGTGACACGTCGCATTCGGGATTCGGAATGTTTCGTTCGTCATGGATGTCTGGTATCCACGAACCATCCCGTCATAACCACCTACTCTTGAGAAGGCTGAATTAAATAACGCATATCAAAATTGAATAGAAATGCTTATATATACTTCATCAGACATTAGAACACAAAACGGGTGTATTCTATGTGGTATGATTCCATAGACAAGCCTAACTGGCATTAACTCCTATTGTGAAAGTAAAACTGCGTCTCTCAATGAAAGTAGTGTCACCTATGAGTATTTTCTTGCACACTAATGCCACCTCGTGCAATATTATCTTTATGTATACTAGCGCCACCTACCCATGCCCATGAGCGTGAGGCCTCCGCCTACCATCAGTACAGCCTGAAGGGTGTCAGTGTATATCACAGCCGTTAGACCACCTGTCAAAATTGAAGTCACAGTGTACCTCGCTATACTGCCATTCCATCATTGTACAACATTTTTATCACGGAACCCAGCTCTAATTTTAACACTTTATCATTTCCCTGATGCTCCCACAGCATAAAGTTAACAGAAAAATATATAGTTATGACGTAATAACTATGACGTCATACAATGAATTGTAGTCGTGAGTTTTACCTGTCATGGTGAGGATGCCAGTGATGAGGACAAGGACGAATATGCTGAGATAAAGATCCCATCTCAGGGACTGCTGAATAAACAGGGCACCAGTAAACAGGTCTCCCTGTTAATAAAGATACATGATGTGGAGGGTATCCATGACTACATAGTAACATAGCAACATATAAACTACGAAAATATCCATGGTAACGTATATAAACAATGACAAAATATATCCATAGCAACAAAAATAAACAATGTCAGACTAGTATCCATAGTAACGTATATGAACAATGACAAAGATGTATCCATAGCAACAGATATAAACCATGAAAGAAAGTATCCATAGCAACAAAGATAAACAATGTCAGACTAGTATCCATAGTAACGTATATAAACAATGACAAAAAGGTATCCATAGCAACAACACAGAGAAGTACCCACAGCGAGATATACTATACAATGGCAACACAATTAAACAACGTTAAAAATTTAAACAGATATTACCACCGTCAGAAAAGTAAATGTTGCAACATTCCTTAACAATTCAGAGAGATAGCCATGGCAACAGAGATTAAATAAATATCACATTAATTGGCAATAATAGTTTTTTTACAGATGTATACAAACGTGAAATTTATAAATGTTGACATTGGTTGATATACTTACGGAACACTTAGTGAAGATGTAGAGTATGAGAGAGAGGACGGCAAAATAAACTCGGAGTCTCTTTCCTCCAAACCTCTTAAACAAATACTCAGGCATTGTGTAGGTCTGAAACAATGTTTGTCAATACTCATTATTTATATACGTGACGTCATACTTATGACGTAATAAATGTCATTCACTAAGGAGATGTAAAAACATTGTTGCAGTACAGTTACTATATTTTCTTAAATATATTTTCCCTGTAATAAATCCAGATATCTGCCTGGTGATAATTCATTTCGATTTCATTCCAATTTTTGAGAAACACGCTTCCTGTTTTATGATACCTACCCCACATGCTATATACACGGGAATAAATATCCAGCCCAACAGCTGAAGCAGCAGGATTGCCTACAAATAACCAAGTAAGATTGTCTTTAATTATTTCACCGAATGTGTCTTGAAGATGTAAACACATTGTAAAACAGTAAATAAAATATTCTATTTCGAAATAACACACGCTTTCGGTATTTGCGCGATATTTCATATCGCTTTCTTACGAATACACTGATGTTCATACTACAATTCAATATTTCGCATGTTGCTTTCCGTTATGTTTTGTTGGAAGCTGTAATGTACTATCACTGAACTTCATGACATGTAAGACCTGCCGACTTAAAGGATTCGTAATTTATACTCAATTTGAAGGCCCCTAAATTGTAAAAATGTAATCACACAAAGGCAACATAATCCTTTATCCTCACATTAAACTCCCAAGCCCCGACACTTATCCCGTTGGCAGCCCCTGACCCGGCGAGACCAATGAAGTGTTCTGTGCCAATATTACTGACAAACAGCGATGCTCCGAGCTGGAAATATAGAATTGTTAATACATTGAAACGATTTTTTTTATTTATCTTATTGTCCTGTCACCCAACCTCGTAAAAATGACGCTCTCATGGAGGTTACATAACTACCCTGTTGTCAATGTGATAACATCCATCATATAGTTTTTTGTTATCAAACATGTATTTTATGACCCAGGCGAACTGTGATTGGCTGAAGGTTCCCGTCGTTCCAATTTTGACGTCATAGTTTATGACGAAATACGCATTGTGACATCAACAAATACAGCCTACAGTTCTTGTAGCTAAATCACTATTAGATCTTGAATGAAATTCCGATTTTATGATTTTTTTTTCAAAGGTATTCAGATTATTATTAAATTATTTATGAAACTCATAACGACTCGCCAGAGACTCGTTTTAGAAATATATTTTGAATTTAAACCTATGTAAAGTCCTGTAGTTATGCAATACAAACCGGAATGAAAGTCATGGATCTCCCAGCTAGGAAGTAGCCGCCGACTGTCCCTCGGTTTGCCCTCCACATAGCCTGTGGGTCAAAAAGGTCATGACACCATATTGAATTCCAGAGTCGCAAAACCAACAATGCGAAATCACATGTACCTCAAAGTTTTTTTTTTATAGAAGACAAGTATAAAACGATGAAAGAATATAGAGAACAAATGTTTACAATGAATGAATGAATGAATGAATGAATGAACGAATGAATGAAAATAATTTGCTATAATCTTTCATATTTTTTGTCGAATGGAGGACATACTTATCTTGTATTATATTTACACCTGAAATAGTTTTGTTGATCTACAGGTAAGAATGTCCGGCACATACATGGACAGTCATACAACTTATAAGACAACGCACAAGGAGGAATCTATTGGAGATTGAAAATGATTTTAAAAACAATGATGGATAAGAAAGTAAACACTTCGTGTTGGACTTGGTATCTCCTTCTTTGAGGAACACAGACGATACTACATTGATAATAGAGTTAAAACAACGTTACATTGAAGAATGAGCTCCCTCTTTCAAATATTGCACCTTGTTTGAATTCCGTTTCCGGAAGTGTATTATAGCTGCTGGCTACTGACAGACAAGGAGGACAACTCCTAAAGCTTTATTGGTTTTCACTGTGTCCAGTCATCACTTGCGACCTTACATGTACTTATTTGGAATCGTTGCCCGCACCAGTCACAACATGATATGACTTTACTGGGTTGAGGAACGGCCCTCATACAGTAGTTGTATCCAAATCAGGCTGGGGATGAACTTTATGAATGCAGACTTGAAGCTTGTCTGCCTAACGAGACATTCGTTTCTGTCCGAGAAGTCCCTTGTAGTTGCTGTGCCTGTTGTACCAAGAATCGCAGACAATGGGAATCCTTAGGAGAAGAAATAGATAATTTGGTTCCGTCATTCGTCGCCGATGTTTGGACTGTCCTGGTAGCACCAGCATAAACCGACCCATGGATAATTAACGCTTATTAAACTTGATTTATTTTAAAACAGTTGCGAAACAAAATTTTCTAACTTAAATTAATCACTCTTGTTGACCCGGATGGAAGCGCGCGAGGGATCTTACTGTGGGAGGAAACCGGAGTACCCGGGGAAAACCCAAGTGCTCGGGCAGCTGAACCTATACCTTTCACTTCCATTCCGGGAATCGAACCCCGGACGGTTAGGTGAAAGGCGAGTACGTTACCACTGCGCCACCGGATCATCCATGGATATAAACATATTACCATCGAGGATCGCAGTCCACAGAAAACTTGGCATCACTCCTCAAAGGATATGTAGTTCACTGTTTGTCGTAATTGCGTTTGGTTCTACAGAAATTGTGGGGATGTTGTGGGGTTATGTTAGTAAGTCAATGCATAATGAGGTACGGAGTCCTACATATAGTACATGAAATGAGATTGAGGTTTTGGAACACCGGGGTAAGTTCTTGCGGATTTAAAAAATAGTAACGGAGGATTGCGAACATCTCGAGATTGACAAAACTAGGACAACGTTCGTCCTCTAACAGCTAAGTAGAGAAAACACAAAGGGTTATCATCAAAACTAAAAGATGCTACGCCCGGAGTAAGAAGCACACTTGAGGTGTCCACTGAGCAATGGACCATCGACAGCGTGGTTTCACACCAAACTGTTCGATAGTCGATGACGTAACTGGTCCACTTGTTGACCGTAACAGAGATAGTTAGCACATCATGGATGCCGCCTGGAGATTTCATGATACAGCCTGAGAATGGTATGAAAGAGGTGTACGTTCTGGCTTGAAATTGTCGCAAACTCGACTGGAACAAGTTTGGCAAGGGCTATGGAATTGTTGAAAATATCTCTTCTTTTTCTTTTACACAACAAAAACATCAAGAGAGAAAGAAAATTATGTAAATATGTATATGCTCTAGACAAATAGGTTACGTTGTAAATTGCTTCGTTGCGTTAATTACCTGACATAGCATACTTACAAATGCCCCTACGGCCAAAATAGCCACAAAGTAGGCCAACACTACTCCCACATCTGCACCGGTTAAAGACACAGTTTCCGGATTATAGGAACGACGAAAGGTTTCCGCTGCTTCGCTCACCATGTTCGTAAACTATAAGACGATGTTCACTCTGTATAAAATAGAAAACTGAAATTTGATTGATATCGGATAAAGGTTTAGACTTTTTGAAGTGAAAATTCTTGTCCAGACAGACATTTAACCTTTTATACTTATATACTTTATACAGAATTAATCATCTCCCGTATCGGTTCTGTGATTAGATTCTACCTCATGTGTAAATGCAATGTGTCATTCTGCAGCCATACTGTTGGTCAGATTTTAGCATTCTCAATTAGTTTCGATTTTTTTTACATATTGTTTCGTGTACAAAATAGGTATTTCAAATAAAAAAAATATTCATTTTTCGCTTTATCTTTAATCGATTAACCATTTTAACCATATCGATATTTCATATTTCAAACATGGGTCCTAGAAAGCAGAGATGAACACAAAATATAATGATTGGATTAATCCAAAGACGTTCAATTTTCCGAATGAAATTGGAGTGTTCCGAACACCTTCATAGACTCGGGTTGGTAGTGTAGCTTCTGCACAATTCATTTCAATGCCCCCGATGTAAGGCCTCAAATAAACAAGCTGGCCATATTGGTAAGTAGTGAAACTGTTTGCGAGTTCGCACACACATTTTCCAGCAATAAACTGAAAACACACATCGCAAGCGGTGAGTTTGGTGCACATGCTACCCGATCATTAGATATGTGGTTCACAAAAAACAACGTTCTTTGGATTTCTTTATGCTTCAGATATACATTAACTTTTAAAAGATATTTTATATTTTTCAGAGGAAATGTTCATACGATATCTCAAATGTATAAATGTATTTATGTATAAATTGCATACGATATATTTGTAAAAGACCGATATTTATAATATCATACACTTTTAATATTTTCTTTAAAGATAACATATTGTATAATTTGTCCTGACATATCATGATTTATTGAGTCAGTATTACTGCGTCGATAAATGAGACAAGTTACATTCACATACATACTATAGAATACAGAAGTCCAATTCACATGTGTATCATTTTCCAACATTTATCATAAGACAGCAACTATTTCCCCGAGGAACACACACATATATATACTATAAAGACATTTAAGTTTTCTCAACAATAAGTTAAAATCATATTTCTGAGTCAGTATGATACGACAGGAAAATAATCGCGAACCTCGACTACATACTCTGATTTCTAACATGAATTATTGGTATTGAATCCGTGCTGTAACTTGAATCTGGTGAGAAAACTTGATAGACAGTACATGTACAGCAGTGTAAGGCTTCGTTACATTCCATTTCGCTTTTACGTCAATTCTGATTGGCCCAAATTAAATGAAACCCATTTTAATTGGTTATTATTCTTGTTGAATCTCATATGTTCGATTATCATAACTATGTCGACGAACTCGACAATCTTTGATCAAAACAGCGAATGGCGGTAGATACAACAGCAAGTGTCGACCAGTCTTAGTTTAAATCTTTATCAATTTTTCTTAAAATAGTGGTATAATTTTCTGAAAAATCTATTTTACAGCATTACAACGCTTGTCCGAAATCAAACGGACGTAAAAATAAGGAAATATTACATTTTAATCCCCTTTGTATAGGTCAATGCCCAGAACAAGGTATATGACGGCATGTACAATCATACTGAAATTTAGGCAATGGCATTATTTACAGTCCCTGTGAGACCTTGATTTGAATATGAGATGGCGGAGTTTTATGTTCACTGAGGTCAGAATATAGGTAAACATAGCAGGTATGTGAGTGGCTAAACAGCATACTGGTGTTTACAGAAGAGGTGTTGGTAAAATGCACAGCCACAACACCCATGGACGTTCGTATTATACTTCCAGAGTGAAATGTATTCATAGGAACAAAGCATTCACGTTAGTTTCATAAAAAACAGATCTCCTACAAACACGATACATAATCATCATCATGTGATTCTGAATAGCTACGTGATTTAAGTTTTCAAGACGATCTATAAGCCCTGACATTGCGCCTTGATCCTTGCCCTATTACCTTCCCCTACATTCCTTCCAAAAACTTCTTTAATCAAGAATAAACCCGTAATTATTCATTATAAGTTCCCATACTCCAAAAATAAAGGCTCGTTTGTTCGGCTTTTTCACCCGGAACTCATCGGATTGGCTAATATTATAGATAATTTTGACTTGATATAAACCGTGCGCGAATTGATATAAACCGTTCGCGACTTGATATAAACCGTGCTCTAGGTTAAGTCTAAACACGATGTCTCCTTACATAAGCGGCCTTTCATATGTTAGTTGTAAACATTTCGCTTTGAATAGATAAGGTCAGTATGTAGGTTTATGTCCAGAATGTTGACCTAGCACGGGTTGGCTTATTTTCCCGATTTTTCTATGGCCAGGGTTCTGACGTTCTTTTATTTTTTTTTATTTTGAGCTTAACGTCCTTGTTCCGGTTATAACCGAGCCTAGGACACCGACACTTGACCAATATAAACTTTTCGTTTCCAGGATAACAGCATGACAGCGAATTGTTATATAATTATGGACCGCATAACAACCCGGAAGTGGGCGTCAAAATAAATTTCACAGAAATAGTACATAAAATGGTGAAAACTAGAATTCAGAATGTTATACATGATGCTTTTATTGGTGTTCCCTGTGTATTAGAACGCCAAAGTAAACACCAACTACGGTCGGTACCATCGTAATAATCCGCTGGGATTTCGTTTTTCTTTGTACATCTTGAAACAGTATTTAGGATGGATGTTTAAATTGATGTCTTGTCTGTTGTCACGGTAGAATGAACAGATAGCAGAAACATGATGTGCGAACGCTGTGAACCGTGAAAAGGATGATTTTGCTTCATTTTGCACAGAACACGAATCTTTCTGTTCTAGTATCTGGTGACAGACCATGCTGAAAGACACCTTTACATGCCTACAAACCGTATACAGACTATCATCGTGTAGTTTACATGCATACCTGTGCTTAATTAGAGTTCACTTACCTGTTAATTGTCTCTTTTTCCTCCGATACAAATTGACGGTGGATATGTCGAATACACACCTGTGTTTACAGTAGTGTGTCTGAACGTGTCTTCACCATACCTGCCCGACCATCAGAAATTACTGAAGCGTGTATGCCTTGGCATTATTACAAATATAAAGTAGACGAGTAAGGAAATCCAGGTGAGGTTAGGTTTCCTCCGCCCTTACCTGTTCAATATTTACATGAAGAAAGGTGCAAATACAGGACCACATTGACGTATAGTAAGTTTGCCTTAAGTACCGTTTGACGAGTATTCCAAGGTCAACGACCTCGGTGTTTCGAGAAGAAATGAATACAAGGCCGTTCTAGATTTCCTTGATAAACATATTTTACAGTAAGCATCTTGCATAATATGTTCATTTCAACATTTAAAAGGGGGGTTACTGTGAAGCAGAATCTTACACTTGAATCTTTTTTCAGTCTTTTAGTCTCGTTAGGAGTTCTCAATTATGTGGAGTTTTTCTGATACTGGTCCCTTTCCCGAAAAATATATCATGTTGGGTACTTTGAGTAAGAGGAATGTTGACAATAATAGTTTTCGGGACAGGAGCAAATATTTACCTGAAAGTAAACAGGAAAAAATGAAAACGAGATTGAGAAAGATTAAGAATCTCTATTTTGCTATTTACTTCCTCCTACCCTCAACGTGACTCGGTTTATTAAGGGCGATTTAAATCCGACAGTCTGGTATGTATTCAGCAAACCTCTGTATGTTAGGACGCTAAGGTTTGTGTTTAAAATGGGACTTTGTTGGTCTGGACACTAAGGTTTGAGTTTAAAATGGGACTTTGTTGGTCTGGACGCTCTGGTTGTGTTTAAAATGGGACTTTGTTAGTCTGGACGTTGAGATTTGTGTTTAAAATGGAACTTTGTTGGTCTGAACGCTGAGGTTTGTGTTTAAAATAGGGCTTTGTTATTCTAGACGCTAAGGTTTGAGTTTAAAATGGGACTTTGTTATTCTGGACGCTAAGGTTTGTGTTTAAAATGGGACTTTGTTAGCATGAACACTACTGTTTGTGTTTAAAATGGGACTTTGTTGGTCTGGACGCTCTGGTTTGTGTTTAAAATAGGACTTTGTTAGTCTGGACACTAAGGTTTGGGTGTAAAATGGGACTTTGTTATTCTGGACGCAAAGTTTGTGTTTAAAATGGGAATTTGTTAGGCTGAACGCTACCGTTTGTGTTTAAAATGGGACTTTGTTGGTCTGGACGCTCTGGTTTGTGTTTAAAATAGGACTTTGTTAGTCTGGACACTAAGGTTTGGGTGTAAAATGGGACTTTGTTATTCTGGACGCTAAGGTTTGTGTTTAAAACGGGACTTTGTTAGTCTGGGCGCTCTGGTTTGTGTTTAAAATGGGACTTTGTTAGTCTGGACGTTGAGATTTGTGTTTAAAATGGAACTTTGTTGGTCTGAACGCTGAGGTTTGTGTTTAAAATAGGACTTTGTTATTCTAGACGCTAAGGTTTTGTTTAAAATGGGACTTTGTTATTCTGGACGCTAAGGTTTGTGTTTAAAATGGGACTTTGTTAGCATGAACACTACTGTTTGTGTTTAAAATGGGACTTTGTTGGTCTGGACGCTCTGGTTTGTGTTTAAAATAGGACTTTGTTAGTCTGGACACTAAGGTTTGGGTGTAAAATGGGACTTTGTTATTCTGGACGCAAAGTTTGTGTTTAAAATGGGACTTTGTTAGGCTGAACGCTACTGTTTGTGTTTAAAATGGGACTTTGTTGGTCTGGACGCTCTGGTTTGTGTTTAAAATAGGACTTTGTTAGTCTGGACACTAAGGTTTGTGTGTAAAATGGGACTTTGTTATTCTGGACGCTAAGGTTTGTGTTTAAAACGGGACTTTGTTAGTCTGGGCGCTCTGGTTTGTGTTTAAAACGGAATCTTGTTAGTCTGGACGCTCAGGTTTGTGTTTAAAATGGGACTTTGTTAGTCTGGACGCTAAAGTTTGTGTTTAAAATGGGACTT